TGGGGTGGCCCTGCCAGGGTTGGGGTGGTCTCACCTTGTCTCTCTAGAGCTGCCTTCCCATAGTGCAGTAACAATTCCATGTCGTCAACACAGGTATCATTAAAGAGGACTTCCACCAGCTCGCTGAAGGCGGTATAGTTATGGAGAATGTCCCGGACATACCTTGACAAGTCAGTGTCTTGGGAGAGAAGCCAAGTGGCATTGTTCGTGCTGAAACTGAGGAAGTCCTGGCCATTGTAGCCCACATAGGCGAAGGCCTGGGAGGTCCTGTTGGGGTAGATCTCACAGCCTGCCACACATTGGGCCACAAAGGGGTCTGGAGGGGCAGAGAGGAGAGAAAGGTTGCATGAAGGGCTGGGATTGCCTTCCTGTGGATGTGGTCAGCATCTCCTGTGCAGCGCCAGCACAGTCCTTCCCCCTTCCCAGATGCTATTCAGAGAGGGGAGGCAGAGAACACCAAGTACTCACAGGGCACATCCTTCTGCATGGCACCTTCATTGATCAGGTGGTTGAACTGCTGCAAATAGATCTTGATCATGTTCTCAATGGTGTCCCAGTCACCACGGGGCAGGGCTGGGCGCACCCAGGGCTGGTAGAAGTGGATGCTCCAGGTGTGCTTATCAAGAGAACCAAGCTCAATGTCTTGCAGCAGGCCCAGCCCCTCTGTGTCCACAAAGGAGGTGTTTTGGAAGGTGGAGGTCTGGAGCAGCCGGATAGTGACGGTCTCTACATGAGACAGGGTTTGACAAGGGAAGATGGGAGTGGGAGGAGAGGGCTAGGGAAAGTGGAGGGGCTGAGGGACGAGTCTTCATAGTTGCAGGGACCCATGGGCTCCCATAAGCCCCCTGCACCCTTAGCAGCCCCTGGGGTACTCCCACTGGGGTAGCTGCATCCCTGCCAGGGAGGAGGTGTGGAGCCAGGGGACAAGCAGGTGTGAGGAGGCAAGTGCCCAAGGTGGGTAGGGAGGAGGAAGCCCCTCGCCCGTGGTGTCCCACGGGGGCATGGGAGCAGATGTGAATGAGCCAGGGCTCCCACTTACCCTCCAGATCTGCCCATGTCCCAGAGAGGAGAAGGAGGTAGAGAAGGAGGAAGAGGAGGCAGTGGTGAGCGGGCTGCATGGTGCCAGCAGTGAGGATCCAAGTGCGCAGCAGCAGGAGGAAGGGGCTGTGAGAGATGCAGCTGCACACTTCTCAGAGTGTCTCTGTCCAGGAAGCTCCACTGGTGCTAGTGGCCCTGGCAGCCAATGAGGCTGGCACTGAGGTTTCAGGGAGGGCCCTGAGGTTCCTGCTTGGGGTGGGCTGGGGCACTGTGAGTATGGCTATGAGCGCTGGGGGAATTTGGATGGGAGTGAGGCCATCCCACCGGCTGCAGGAGGGGACCCTCATGGCTGCAGCACAACCTTGACAATTGGGGCAAAGCAGGTGACCTGACCCGTATTTTCTACCCCCATTACAGGTGGAGGTGCCACCTGGCCACAAGCTGCATCCACTGTCCCTGACAGGAATATCCCTTGCTGCCACCCCTGTGTAGCACAGACAGCTCCATCGGCTCCATGCTGCCTACTTAACCAGGCAGGTTCACCCCAACATGGCTGACTTTCTCACAGGGGAGGCAAAACCCGTTCCCACAGCCTCGCTGCATGCCTGGGCTCCCCGTGCCCCCAGGCTGTGCACTGGCCCCATGCCTCTCTGTGTCACCTCCCAAGTGTCCTGCAGCCAGGCCATGCTGATGGGCTGCAGGTAGAAGATGGTCGTGTGTCAAACCAGCAGGAGCAGAGCTGAGTCAGGTGTGTGGCCAAAGACCATGGATGTGGGGGGGTTCTGGGGAGTGAGAGTGAAGGGGAGCTGGTGATACCTGCTGACCCCTCAGCACTGTTGGCCTGATCCTGGGGAAGGGGCAACCCAGGGAGGAGGTGACAAGCAGTTCCTCCCTGGCCCACAGCTGCAGGGTCAGGGATGGGTGCAGGCAGGGCTGGAGGAAGCAGCTCCTCCTCTCAGGGCATGGGAAATGGACAGGCTGGAGCAGCTGTAGTGTGATGGTCCCCACAGAGAGAGATGGGTTGCAGGGCCTGGAAGGGACTGTTTCCCACTGACAGTCATTGGACCTTTGGAGTGGCAGCACTTGGCTGTGCAGGACCCCCAAGCTAGGACAGGGATGGGACCATCCTGAGGCCCATTCCAGGGGGCTGTGGTGGATGAACAGCCTCCCCATTTCCATGGAGCGCCATCCATGCTGTGGGGCCTGGGAGCTGCCTCTCGGCTTCCCTGCAGGAACAGTGCAGTGCTGGGGAGCTCCAACTCTCCTGTAAACGCCCCCAGGAGAGGGCCTGAGGCTGAGCTGCAGCCTGGCACTCCCCTTTCCTTCCCATCATCTTTGGTGGGGAACCCTGTTCCCTTCCTCAAATGCCCCCTGGGCATGGGAAGAGGAATGGTGGGGTTGTCCCCCTGCTCTGTCCCCACTGTCACCAGTATCCAGCACTGGAGGGACAATGGGGTGACCAGAGCCAGCCTTGCCCCCACAATGTCCCCTACCCTCTGCTCCTCCCTGGGCATCCCCTGGTGCCTCTCCTTACCCCACATTTTCTCTTCCCCTTTCCTGGGGGTGCCCGCATTGGGGGCACAGGCAGAACCAAAACCACAGCCAAGGGGAAGTTTGAGGGGTGTGCCCTGACAACCTCCAAACACAAATGGGGCAGAGCTGTCCCCTTCTGCAATGTGACAAGGTGCCACGTGACCCTTTCAAGCACAACCGGGACTAGGTGTCCCGGCTCCATGTCTTCATCCTGGGTTTCCCCAGCTGTGGTGGGGACACAGGGAAGGCCCATATAGGGCTGCTGCAGCCTGAGAGCGAGCATCCCATGACACTGAGTCAGACATGGGGAAACAAGGACATCAAACCCCTTCCCTTCCGTGGAGCTGTCCCATGGAGAAGTAGGGATGCTGTGGTGGTCTGGCAGGCCCAGAAATGGCACCAATGATCCCACTTCCCCAGCAGCTCATTTCAGCATCACCCAGGGGATGTTTGGCCATGCCACCACAACCTCCACACTCCTCCCTGCAGGGCCATCAGTGCCAGGGTCAGAGGAGAGTGTTTGACTGGTGGGATGGCAAAGTGCAGCCAAGGAGTGGCCAGTGAGGAAAAGGGTAGAGGGATGTTTGTCCACGCAGTCCAATGAGGTGACCATTTGTCCTCACGGTCCTCCCTAAGGTGACAGTTGATCACTTCTTGCTGAGCAGCTGGCTTCTGCAGGTACATGTCAGGTCACTGACACCTCTCCTCCCCCTCTGCAGTCTCCACTCTCCTTGTTATCATCACAGGCTACAGTTATTTCCTTTGATGCGGTGGCAGCAGCATGGGAGGTTGCACTCAGTGCACAGCCATTTCTTTTGGCCGCTTACTATTCCTTAAACTTTTATTCTGCTGCACCTTTGTTCTTGCTTGTTGCCTTTGCTTCAGAATGGGCTCCCCTCTGCTCCACAGTCCCTTTGGGGAAGTACCTTTTCTGCCGTGGTCTTATTCCATAGGCCACAGTCTCTTTGGGGTGTACTTACTCTTCTGTGGAGCACCTCCTACTGCTCTGACCTTCCTGTTCCTTTTTCTGGGTGTTTACTTCTCTTTCCTAAATATATTATCACAGAAGTGCCACAAACTCCTCATGTTCAAAGGAGGTTAGCTGATTTGAGCCAGCCACCAGCAGCACAGGGCACTTCATGATCTCCTTCCTCAGAGGTCACCCTGGTAGCCCTCCTCCTTCCCTCTCAACCAAAACCTTGTAAATTATGCCCAGTACCATCCTTTACTGTAGTACAGCTACAATGGCTTGAATTGGGTGACTGGTTGAGATTTTATTGGAGTTGGTGCATACTGACCATAGTAGGATAAAAGTTACATTTATGAGGGACTGCAGTGCACTTCCACCTTTCTAATTTAGTTTAAGGATGGCTTGCTGATAACAGCTGTCATTAAGAAACAGATAAGAAACCTGGTCATAGCCCCAGCTCTGCTTGGGAACTGCTTTTAACTCAGTCTTGTCTTTGGCTCCCATCTGTGCTACACAGGAGCTATGTTGCAGCTCTGTTTGCAGCAAGTCTTGTACCTCCTCATTCCTGACACCAGTCCACTCCCATTGGCTTGACTGGATCCGAATTGTCACCTCAGATTTGCTGGGTAATCACTGGACTCCCGGCTGATGCTGGTTACAATCTCCAGACCTGATTGTTACCCCGAGTTTGCTGATTTGACTTCCTGGCTCCTTGTTGGTGATATAGCAACCCTCCTCCCTTGCTGTGACCCTCAGTTCTTAGCTCAACTTCCCTTATAGAGCAGCCTGTTCTTGACACCATAGCTGTCAGTGGAATACAGTGGATTTGCCCTAGGACTGCCCAGGGAGCTTTCGTACATGAAGAAGGATTTATTTATAAATCTTGGCCACTTGGTCTTTGCTGGAGCTACAACAGTTGGAGACCCGATTCTTTGTCCTCAGAGATACTAAATTATTTTGTCCTCTTTGTGAAATGAGACATTTTCCCAGTGGTTTCCCAAAGAACTTCATGTTTTGCTAGTCTGCAGGTGCAAGGTCTAGGGGAGGCGAGGAATATTAAAATTGCAGTTGGATATACCAATGTGATATTCCATATCATATCACGTCATGTTTGGTATATTATTGAGAGTGTCTTGGGCTCTTGCTCACGCTCTTGCTCTTCTGGGAGTGCAGTTTCGGTTTTCAGGATTGTCACTCCTCTGGGATCATTATCCAAGAAGAGGTCAGGCTTGGTCAGCAGGTGACCAAGCGTGATGGTATCTTCCCTAACACCCCCCTCTCTTAGACCATTTTTATACTATTTTCTTACTTTCAGGTGGAGCTTGAGTGACTGTAGTCATACGTACCTTTACTATAATTGGTGTAAAATTTCCTCGCTTTGCTTTTAAAGGTCTAGAACAGAGGAAATTCAGAGTGCATGCTCAGTGTGGGATGGTCGCACCTTGGAGGCAGGTAGCTTTCAGGCTTAAGGTGTAGTTTAGCATTATGATGACATTATAATGAGCAAAGTTCCACCAAGAACATAGTTTTGGGAAAACGATGAGAAACTGCTGGCTCAGGGTAGCAACCATATAGCTTATCAGTTCCACAGTACCATCAACGTCTCCTCTGCTCTGCACAGAGCCTGTCTGTGGTGTCTCCACTCCACTCCACCCTCCGGGCCGCTTCTCTTAGAGTCAGCCACTCTGCAGTTGCAGGCTATACCGGAGGAACTACTATGAAACAGATTTCTTGCACACCAACGGCATTCCACCCTGAAAGCTTCCTTCATGCTGTACCTTCTCTTGAGATGTAGCTATAAAGAGGTTTCTAAGTCACCTCCAGTAATAATTCCACAGGTGCATTATTAAACATGTAAGTAAATGGACCAAGCCACCATGATCTGAATTTATTCTAGCATGTCAAATAAGATATTATTCCATTGCATCTTGTGTAGTTTTTTTCTGCTTTTCTTGTATCCAGTTGGAGTCTACAGAGCACATCTATTATTCTATTGCTGTGGTGACTACTTAGAAAGATAGTCTACATGCTTAATTCTTGGTCTTGCAAACTTGCTGAGCATGCTAGATCTAATAAACCATGCATATAATTCACTGGTTTAACCATTTGGCTACAGCTCCACATGCATGTGAATAGTATGCTGAACTTAAATAGCAGTACTAGGTAATCCACATACAAACATATCTTTTTAAAAAGCAGTAGAAACTATTGACCACTGCTACTCTTCTTTCTTGAAGGAGCTACTACACATTTTCAGTTACATCAGTTGGGTGATTTTAATATCAGTGTTGAGTGGCACTATAAAATGATGTAGCTTTGCTACCATGGGCTATATGATCATTTAAATGAATGCCAAGGATATTTTTACTCCCACTGCACCAAAGCATTAGTAGTCCTACCAAGAGCTATGATCGAGTTCATGGGTATTCCACCTCTAAAATTAAGGGATGTTGGTTTCTGCAGTGAAGCTGCGTATTTCTGTTCACTTCTTATTGTTGCAATATAGAAACTTAAAGACAGCAGGGTGTGTTTGGTAATGTTAGCAACATAAGGGTTCAGAATACACAAATCATGATC